CACGAAAATACAGTTCAAAACAAGTTAAATACACCTCAAAACTGAGATGCGTCCGTCGCATCTAGTATTCTAAACTCACCCTAACAAACATTCCACTCATTTCAACCCAGGAACCATGCAATTTCAAATCTAACACTCAATCAGTTCATTGCATAAAAAATCCTAACGAAGATGAACTCGCAAATCGGGCGAAACGGCAGAAAGCAATAAGAATTGTGAGAAAGTGAAATCGATGTTCGTTCCAACAATAGATTTTGGGATCTATTCGTTACCTGGAGATGATGAATCACAACACAAAGTTGGCTGCAATTTGACGGTTTTGAGCTTCTGAAGGTCGGGAATGGCGACCGACAGCAAAGAGGAGGAACACGACCTAGCTCGTCGACAACCAAAGAAAGCTAGGTAGGAAGCTCACAATGAATGAATTATAAATGATAACAATTTCTATGTTTTATATATATATATATATATATAGCTTTATTAGTTTTTTTTTTAATTTGTTTTGCATTGAAAGTCTTGTAATTTTTTTTTTAAATATAATTATTGGTGCATTTAACTAAAAAAATTAGTCGTTTACAAATAAAAAATAATTGTAATTTTGATTCTTCTATCTATAAAAGTTTGGTCCTTAATTTTTTTTCTAATTTTAATTTTATATTTTATAAAATTTGTAATTTGAATTTCTATTTTTTTAAATTTAAGTCTCTTAAAATTTAATTAATTATATATATATATATATATATATATAAATTAGTAAAAGAGACTCGACAAAACTGAAATTTTAAAAAGACGTTAAATCTGATTAATTTAATGGATTTAATTATTAGTAATAAAAAAACTAAATGCTAACATTTACGTTGTTTATTATATATCTTCTGATAAATGAAAGAAAAAAATTGTATTTGATTGTAAATTATTATCTATATTATTATATAAAAAAATTGATATAATTATTTTTATTATATAATGATGAATAAAGAGTAATTAGTATAATATTATTTATATTATCATATAAAATAAATTTTATTTTAGTGTACTTTTATAAAATAAAATTATTTTGATTATTATGATAATCTACATAAAATAGTAAATTTAATATTATAAGCCAAGAAATAGAAGATTTAACATGAATGTTGAAAAAAAAGTATGAAACATAAATATAAATAATAATCATAATCATAATAATAATAATAATAGAGAAAATTAGTAATATATAAATAATAAATAAAAAATTTGTGATAGGAATTATTAATAGAGAACAAAATTTAGTTAAAAAAATTATAATATAATGAAAGTATAAATAAATAAATATTTTAAAAATTAATAATATAAAATCATTAACATATATCTTATAAGACAATCAATAGAACTAATAATTTGTTTATATTGTATTTTTTAAAATATTTTTAGACTGTTATTTTTAAGATATTTTTACATTATATTTTTTTAAAATAAATGAAACATTGTAATTACATTATAATTTTTAAAAATAATTTATACAATTTAATATTAATTATTAATTATAAATTAATATAAAAATATTTTTATCAAGAATATTTTAATTATTAACTAATTTAATTTATTATTTATTTATTTTTAATTAATTTAATCAATTTTTTCATTTCTTTTATTTTTCATCATCTTTTTCTCAATCTAAAGGTTTCTCTTTCTCCTTTTTCCCTCTCATAAATCCCAATCCAAACACATAACTAAATAATTCATAAGTACAAATAATTATCTTACATTATTAATTTTTCATTCTCCACACAATCATTTCAAAACTAGTTTTACAAATTCTCTATTTTTTAAAAATATTTTAAGAAACTTTATTATTTTAATGTAATAAATATAAAGACATGAAAATGTTTGCATTTCAATAGTTGAAATAATATTTTCATTAATAAAGAATATTTGATTTTTTTATTTTTATTTTTATAGATGATCTTACAACTAAGCATACGGATTTATATTTCTATCCTGCTAAATGGTTATCATCATCCATAACTAGTTAATAACTGTCACTTGCTATGTAAGGGACTAAACAACAAATATAACGGAGTTTTGCCTTAACCTATTACGAAGAGTAGATTACCACTAGGAAATCACTCTCACCACTGCATTTGCATCCCTAGAGGCACAACAATAGTAATCATTAGACTTTCTAAATTTAGTTCGTCCTTTCAGTTCCTTTCCGTAGCCTTCTACACATCAATCACCCATGGCGTCGCGTTCTGCCCCGTTGCAAACTTCTCCCGCGTTTTGCCTACCCACACTTCGCTTCACTCTCACAAGAAGCTCTTTCAATCTCAATGTCGCCCCTTCTTCATCTCGCGCCCTTCCCATTCGCTTCGGTATGTTCCTTTCAACCACTAGGTTTGTTGAATCTATGTCGTTACCTTCATTAGTTTTGGTGTTAGATCAAATGATTTCAATGGTTGTGTAGCTTCGTGCTGAGGATTTTTTTCTGTCTATTGGACCGCGAATACAACACCTAATTACTTGTTATCGTGTTTTACTAAACATTAATGAATTGGATAATGCGACTTTAATCATCTTTCACGCGACTTTGCTTGTTATCAGATATGGAACATGATCAATACTTTACAATGATATTGGAAGAGATGTAACTCCTAATGTGTGTTGAGCACATAGGGTTATCTCTTTATATACAAGATAATATATAAAGATTAAGGAAATAAATAAAACTTAGTTCTAGATACCATGTTGAAATAAAAGAAACATAGATTGAATCCCTAATATGTGTTAAGCACATAGGTTATCTCTTTATATATAAGATAAATACAAATATTAAGAAAATAAATAAATGATATAGGCCTAAGCCCATTACATCTAACAGATCACATGACTTAATCACCTTAGTTCTTTTTCTAACTTGTGCCAAAGATATTTGTGATCTTGTTCCTTTTCTTTTTTATTCTTCATAGTTTTGTGTGCTTGACTAATGTTGTCAAGCTTGTGTTTTTAGCTAGTGTTGCTAAGATTGTGTTTTTGGCTAGGGTTGCCAATGAGTATCTTGTGATAGGGTGTCACATGTGCTTGATATTGTAGGGTTCAAGATCAAATATTGTTTTTAACGTTTTTTGGTCTTCTTAGAAGAGTGTTGTCAAAACTTGAAAAATTAGTGGATTGACATAATCAAGGTGATCAATCAATTAGATGGATCTATCTTGGTAGAGTGAACGAGTATTATTCTTGGTGTTTTTCTTATCTTCTTATCTCCTATACATCACATTTGTGTTCAAAGAAAATTGTTTATCCATTTTCAGAAATCTTTAAAAGTGATATTGATCTAGCCAGTACCTACAAAGAAAAAAATAGTAGAAATTCAATTAAGGTGATTTAAACGTGTGTAATGAAGATCACCTGTGATAATGAGCAAAAGAAGGCTATGAAAGACAATGGAAGAAATTATCAAAAGAAATATCAGGGTGAATAATATCCTTAAAAACTTATTTTTGACTAAATCTAATGGCATCGTATGATTCATGTAGCCAACTTCACCAAATGGGAGAAGGCTAATATTGTCATGTTGGTGGTGGTGTTAATATTATCATTTTGTTAACAATATCCAATGATATAACTGAACAAAAGAAAATGAAATAAATAAACACAAAAAAATCAATAGATTTATAGTGCCAAATATAAAGATGTTAGAGAGTATCAAAGAAAGATAGGTTATGTTTATAACCTATATATATTGCACAAAGCATAGCCTTCAGGTTGCTAATATCAAGATGCAACTTAGACAAGAAACTAGCAAGATTATCTCCGTCAAGAATGTCATGTGCAGTTGCACTATGCTTCTCCAAAACAGCATCCAATGATGATATGTAAGACTCATCCCGTGATTGAGCCTTGTGGATTAGGGCATACATCATATCTGTCACCTTTGACATTGCAGAGACAACCACCAATGTCCTCTCCGAATCATCCTTCAGAATTATGTCTACAACTTTCTTTATTCTCTGTGAGGTTCCCACACACGTTCCACCAAATTTGTGCACATACCATGTTTCTCCTTTGGGAAGTTGCTTTTCCTCTAAAGACACGTTTGATGTAACATCTGCTAGTAAAAGAAACCAAAATAAAAAACCATAAGCAATTGCATCTTACAAAACAAAAAGGCGTAGTTCGACATAAAAGTAAGTCGCAACCAGTCAATGAAGCATGTATTACGGTGCCTCGTGGGTCTCTTCCTCTTGTTAAAGCAAAACCCTTCTTGGGAGAGAAACAACACCAGTAGATAGAAAAACACAAATATCCAATTAATCTCAAAAGGAGAGTATAATTTAAACACTTGAATACTCCCAAAACTTAAGAAAACAGTATATGCTCTGCAAATGATTCACAAACAAACAAAAAAATATTGTATAACAACCAAATATTAACAGATTATTGAGCACCTATCTGCCAACCATAACAACTTTCATTGATTTTCTCTTAATATTCAACCTGATAAAATATAGCCTTAAATTTGAAATTCTCCATTTAGCTAATAAGCTTATTATTCAAACATCACGTTCCATATCTGATAAAAAAGTCGCGTGAAAGATGATTAAAGTCGCATTATCCAATTCATTAATGTTCAGTGAAACACGATAACAAGGAATTAGGTGTTGTACTCGCGGTCCAATAGACAGAAAAAAATCCTCAGCACGAAGCTACACAACCATTGAAATCATTTGATCCAACACCAAAACTAATGAAGGTAACGACATAGATTCAAGAAACCTAGTGGTTGAAAGGAACATACCGAAGCGAATGAGAAGGGCGTGGGATGAAGAAGGGGCGACATTGAGATTGAAAGAGCTTCTTGTGAGAGTGAAGCGAAGTGTGGGTAGGCGAAACGCGGGAGAAGTTTGCAACGGGGGCAGAACGCGATGCCATGAGTGGCTAATATGTGGAAGGCTACGAAAAGGAATTGAAAGGACAAACTAAATTTATAAAGTCTAATGATTACTATTGTTGTGCCTCTAAGGATGCAAATGCAGTGGTGAGAGTGATTTCCTAGTGGCCTTCTACTCTTCGTAATAGGTTAAGGCAAAACTCCGTTATATTTGTTGTTTAGTCCCTTACATAGCAAGTGACAGTTATTAACTAGTTATGGATAATGATAACCATTTAGCGGGATAGAAATATAAATCCGTATGCTTAGTTGTAAGATCATCTATAAAAATAAAAATAAAAAAATCAAATATTCTTTATTAATGAAAATATTATTTCAACTATCGAAATACAGACATTTTCATGTCTTTATATTTATTACATTAAGATAATAAAGTTTCTTAAAATATTTTTTAAAAATAGAAAATTTGTAAAACTAGTTTTAAAATGATTGTGTGGAAAATGAAGAATTAATAATGTAAGATAATTATTTGTACTTATGAATTATTTAGTTATGTGTTTGGATTGAGATTTATGAGAGGGATAAAGGAGAAAGATAAACCTTTACATTGAAAAAAAGATGATGAAAAATAAAGGAAATGAAAAGATTGATTAAATTAATTAAAAATAAATAAATAATAAATTAAATTAGTTAATAATTAAAATATTCTTGATAAAAATATTTTTATATTAATTTATAATTAATAATTAATATTAAATTGTATAAATTATTTTTAAAAATTATAATGTAATTACAATGTTTCATTTATTTTAAAAAAATATAATGTAAAAATAACTTAAAAATAACAGTCTAAAAATATTTTAAAAAATACAATATAAACAAATTATTAGTTCTATTGATTGTCTTATAAGATATATGTTAATGATTTTATATTATTAATTTTTTAAAATATTTATTTATTTATACTTTCATTATATTATAATTTTTTTAACTAAATTTTGTTCTTTATTAATAATTCCTATCACAATTTTTTTATTTACTATTTATATATTACTAATTTTCTCTATTATTATTATTATTATTATTTATATTTATGTTTCTCACTTTTTTTTCAACATTCATGTTAAATCTTCTATTTCTTGGCTTATAATATTAAATTTACTATTTTATGTAGATTATCATAATAATCAAAATAATTTTATTTTATAAAAGTACACTAAAATAAAATTTATTTTATATGATAATATAAATAATATTATACTAATTACTCTTTATTCATCATTATATAATAAAAATAATTATATCAATTTTTTTTTAATATAATAATATAGATAATAATTTATAATCAAATACAATTTTTTTTCTTTCATTCATGTGAAGATATATAATAAACAACGTAAATGTTAGCATTTAGTTTTTTTATTACTAATAATTAAATCCATTAAATTAATCAGATTTAACGTCTTTTTAAAATTTCAGTTTTGTCGAGTCTCTTTTACTAATTTATATATATATATATATAATTAAATTTTAAGAGACTTAAATTTAAAAAAATAGAAATTCAAATTACAAATTTTATAAAATATAAAATTAAAATTAGAAAAAAAAATTAAGGACCAAAATTTTATAGATAGAAGAATCAAAATTACAATTATTTTTTATTTGTAAACGACTAATTTTTTTAGTTAAATGCACCAGTAATTATATTTTTAAAAAAATTACAAGACTTTCAACGCAAAACAAATTAAAAAAAAAAACTAATAAGTTATATATATAAAACATAGAAATTGTTATCATTTATAATTCATTCATTGTGAGCTTCCTATCTTTCTTTGGTTGTTGGCGAGCTAGGTCGTGTTCCTCCTCTTTGCTGTCGGTCGTCAGTCCCGGCCTTCAGAAGCTCAAAACCGTCAAATTGCAGCCAACTTTGTGTTGTGATTCATCATCTCCAGGTAACGAATAGATCCCAAAATCTATTGTTGGAACGAACATCGATTTCACTTTCTCACAATTCTTATTGCTTTCTGCCGTTTCGCCCGATTTGCGAGTTCATCTTCGTTAGGATTTTTTATGCAATGAACTGATTGGGTGTTAGATTTGAAATTGCATGGTTCCTGGGTTGAAATGAGTGGAATGTTTGTTATGGTGAGTTTAGAATACTAGATGCGACGGACGCATCTCAGTTTTGAGGTGTATTTAACTTGTTTTGAACTGTATTTTCGTGTTCTTATTTTCTATAAAAGATGTTTTAGGTTTTAAAGCCATTTATCTATTTACTATTTTAATTTATTTATTTGTTTGTACTTCATTCCTTTGTAAATCTTTTTCCCCTTTGCTTCTTTTGAACTTTTGTTTATGAAATATGAAATTCTTTAAAGTAAGGTAATCTTTTACTTTTCAGAAGAATTCGAATGTAAATTGTCTATTTTGTATCCATTATTAGTGCACTGTATGTGGCTGTGTGTAAACAGAAAATACATTATGTTAATAGGGAATACAGATGATGCCTTTGCATGCAAATAATTAAATTCTTATTCTTCCTTTCAGTTTCTTTCCGTAGCCTTCTACACATTAGCCACCCATGGCATCGCGTTCTGCCCCCGTTACAAATTTCTCCGGCGTTTCGCCTACCCACACTTCGCTTCACTCTCACCGGAAGCTCTTTCAATCTCAATGTCACCCCTTCTTCGTCCCGCGCCTTTCCCATTCGCTTCGGTATGTTCCTTTCAACCACTAGGTTTCTTGAATCTATGTCGTTACCTTCATTAGTTTTGGTGTTGGATAAAATGATTTCAATGATTGTGTAGCTTCGTGCTGAAGATTTTTTTCTATCTATTGGACTGTGAGTACAACACCTAATTACTTGTTATCGTGTTTTACTGAACATTAATGAATTGGATAATGCGACTTTAATCCTCTTTCACGCGACTTTGCTTGTTATCAGATATGGAACGACTATATTTTATCAGGTTGAATATCAAGAGAAAATCAATGAAAATTGTTATGGTTGGCAGATAGGTGCTCACTAATCTGTTAAATATTTGATTGTTATACAATATTTTTTTGTTTGTTTGTGAATCGTTTGCAGAGTATATACTGTTTTCTTAAGTTTTGGGAATATTCAAGTGTTTAAATTATATTCTCTTCTTGAGATTAATTGGATATTTGTGTTTTTCTATCTACTGGTGTTGTTTCTTTCCCAGGAAGGGTTTTGCTTTACCAAGAGGAAGAGACCCACGAGGCACCGTAATACATGCTTCATTGACTGGTTGCGACTTACTTTTATGTCGAACTACGCCTTTTTGTTTTGTAAGATGCAATTGCTTATGGTTTTTTATTTTGGTTTCTTTTACTAGCAGATGTTACATCAAACGTGTCTTTAGAGGAAAAGCAACTTCTCAAAGGAGAAACTTGGTCTGTGCACAAATTTGGTGGAACCTGTGTGGGAACCTCACAGAGAATAAAGAATGTTGCAGACATAATTCTGAAGGATGATTCGGAGAGGACATTGGTGGTTGTCTCTGCAATGTCAAAGGTGACGGATATGATGTATGCCCTAATCCACAAGGCTCAATCACGGGATGAGTCTTACATATCATCATTGGATGCTGTTTTGGAGAAGCATAGTGCAACTGCACATGACATTCTTGACGGAGATAATCTTGCTAGTTTCTTGTCTAAGTTGCATCTTGATATTAGCAACCTGAAGGCTATGCTTCGTGCAATATATATAGGTTATAAACATAACCTGTCTTTCTCTGATACTCTCTAACATCTTTATATTTGGCACTATAAATCTATTGATTTTTCTGTGTTTATTTATTTCATTTTTTTTTGTTCAGTTATATCATTGGATATTGCAAAAAAAAAATGTTAATATCAACACCACCACCAACATGACAATATTAGCCTTCTCCCATTTGGTGAAGTTGGCTACATGAATCATATGATGCCATTAGATTTAGTCAAAAATAAGTTTTTAAGGATATTATTCACCCTGATATTTCTTTTGATAATTTCTTCCATTGTCTTTCATAGCCTTCTTTTGCTCATTATCACAGGTGATCTTCTTTGCACACGTCTAAATCACCTTAATTGAATTTCTACTATTTTTCTTTATAGGTACTGGCTAGATCAATATCACATTTAAAGATTTCTGAAAATGTATAAACAATTTTCTTTGAACACAAATGTGATGTATAGGAGATAAGAAGATAAGAAAAACACTAAGAATTATACTGGTTCACTCTACCAAGATAGATCCATCTAATTGATTGATCATCTTGATTATGTCAATCCACTAATTTTTCAAGTTTATACAACATTATTCTGAGAAGACCAAAAAACGTTAAAAATAATATTTGATCTTGAACCCTACAATATCAAGCACATGTGACACCCTATCCCAAGATACTCCTTGGCAACCCTAGCCAAAAACACAATCTTAGCAACACTAGCTAAAAACACAAGCTTGACAACATTAGCCAAGCACACAAAACTATGAAGAATAAAAAAGAAAAGGAACAAGATCATAAATAGCTTTGGCACAAGTTAGAAAAAGAACTAAGGTGATTAAGTCATGTGATCTGTTAGATGTAACGGGCTTAGGCCTATATCATTTATTTATTTTCTTAATATTTGTATTTATCTTATATATAAAGAGATAACCTATGTGCTTAACACATATTAGGGATTCAACATATGTTTCTTTTATTTCAACATGGTATCTAGAGCTAAGTTTTATTTATTTCCTTAATCTTTATATTTACCTTGTATATAAAGAGATAACCCTATGTGCTCAACACACATTAGGAGTTACATCTCTTGTAATATCATTGGTGTTAGAATTATTATTAGTTAGTGGTTACTAGGTAGTTGTTGGTGGTTGGTAGTTGTTTTAAATGCTGTAATCCTATATATATATATATATGAGATCATAGAGTGGAGAAAATCATCCCACTGAATTATAAATCTTCTTTTTAACTCTCTTAACTTGGTATCAGAGCAGGTTGGTCTTACTCTGCCTTTCTGGCCACTATCCGGCCACCGTCTGGTCACCGTCTGACCACTGTCCGGCTACCGTCCGACCACTTTTCTGGCCACCGTCCGACCACTTTTCCAGTCACTTTCCGACAACTTTCCCGCAACCGTCAGCCCCCCGTCCAGTTACTTTTTTGCTGCCGTTCGACGAATTTCTGACCACCTTCCAGTGACCTTCTGGCCTCCGTTCCGCTACAGTTGTCCGCTACTGCCATTTGTCAGTTTTCTTGCAAAGTGAAAATTGATACTCCCTCTCTATCTAATTCTATCTTGGGTGTTATCCTTACAGGTTCCATTGTCTCCATCTTACATCTACATTATTTAAAACATGTCGTCAGGGTCCACAACCTCGTTTTCTGGAACTCCCACTATAACAGCTGAGAAATTAAATGGAAAAAAATTACATGTCTTGGTCCTCTTCAGTGGAACTTTGGTTCCTTGGATAAAGGTTTCACGATCATCTAGAAGAAAACGGAAGTAAGATACCAGTAGATCAGACTCAACAATGGAAAAAACTTGATTATCAACTCTGTGCTCTATTGTAGCAATCAGTAGAACCAAATATTTTGAACACTCTCAGATCCTTCAAAACATGTAACTCTTTTTGGAAAAAGGCTCAGAATATCTTCGCAAATGGTATCCAACGCCTTTATGAATCCGTTAATCAATTAGCCTCTCTTAAGCAAATGGATAAAGATATGATGACCTTTATTGCTGAAGCTCAATCAACAGTTGAAGAATTGAAGATGTTCCTAAAGGTGGATTCGTTAGAGGAGAAAAAGCAAAAATTGGATAAATTCTATATGGTTATGACTCTACGAACTATGAATTCAGAATTTGATCATGTTAGAGATCAAATTTTAACTAGATCGAAAGCTCTGATACCATCTAGAAAATTAGATTAAGTGAAATCTTATTTTATTATTTTAATACAAAGAGATCATACAATATATATACAAGAGACCTAAGCTATTTTTGGAAATATAATAACTCTATTTTATTCTAGGATCCCTTGATTTATGAGATTGTTCCTAATTGTTCAAATCTGTATAGATTACAAATTTCCTAATTTATTCTTTTCTAAAATACTATTTGATTTCCTACATATACCATATGATAAACATTCAAACTCTTGGAGAACCTACCTTTAAAAGCTAGCTTTTAAAGGGAGAAAGTAAATGTTTAAATATTTACTAAGCATTCCATATGACTTGATGAAGGACTTAGGTACCCCATAAAACTTAAATCCCTATCAATGTCCTTGATAAGCATGTTCAAGACTAGAATAATAACAACTGAAGGCTGACCTTTGATGTATGCCTATCCATATAGAGAAGTCCGTATTCTTGTTTCTAGGAGTTTTCACATTAGTAGTTACCCCATCATAAGTCATGGGAGCACTTTCTTTTCCAATGCCTTCCAAAACGCTTCACTTCTTAACATTTATAATATGCTTTTTTTTAAAGTCAATAAAAACCTTCTTGGCATAAATCTAAATTAATTCTTTGCAATTCTAGTCATTCTCTTAATCTATTCTGAATCACCTTTTGCATAATTGTTAGTGTGATCTCTCTTTAAACACCTCTTGCACAGTGAAGGCTATCAATTTTCCATTCATTGTGGAAAAGGTGTCAACATTGCTGCTTAAAATGATGAATTTGAGTTCAGGAATTGCATTTTAAGCCTGACTAACTTTCTTAATTTTTTGCAGCTGGTCATGCAACAGAGTCCTTTACAGATTTTGTTGTGGGACATGGGGAATTATGGTCTGCTCAGATGTTGTCTCTAGTTATTAGAAAGGTATGATGTTTTAATTAGAAAGATGTGCTTTCCACCATTTATCTAAATTTAGGTCATTGCATCATGCTTCTCTTCTGATTCTACAGAATGGAATTGATTGCAAATGGATGGATACAAGGGATGTTATTATTGTTAATCCTACTAGTTCTAATCAAGTTGATCCTGACTATTTGGAGTCTGAGCAAAGACTTGAAAAATGGTACTCTATGAATCCATGTAAGGTAATCATTGCTACTGGATTCATTGCAAGCACACCTGAAAACATTCCGACCACACTGAAGAGAGATGGAAGTGACTTCTCAGCAGCAATTATGGGTGCTCTATTTCGGGCTCGTCAAGTCACAATTTGGACAGATGTTGATGGTGTGTATAGTGCAGATCCTAGAAAAGGTTTGTGATACTTCTTACTTTTTGTCTGAGTTGAAGATTGAATTTGGTTTATAGTAGCCAGATGGAGTTCTAGCTCAAACTTATTGTTGCTGTTTTTGTTGTATGTTCGACTGCTGTAATATAACTTGTTGATTAAATATAAACCACAACATCTTCTGCAGTTAGCGAGGCTGTGATTTTGAAGACCTTGTCTTATCAAGAGGCATGGGAAATGGTGAGTTGAATTCTCTAGAGCCTCAATGCTTCTTCGGCTCAAACAAATTAAGGAGATTAACTTTTAAACTGTCTGTTGTATAGTCTTATTTTGGTGCAAACGTCTTGCATCCTCGCACAATAATTCCTGTGATGAGATATGGCATACCCATTATGATAAGGAACATTTTCAACCTTTCTGCTCCTGGAACGAAGATCTGCCACTCTTCAGTTAATGATAATGAAGATAGGCAGAACCTGCAAAATTATGTCAAAGGATTTGCAACCATAGATAACTTGGCACTTGTAAATGTCGAGGGGTGAGTGAGTCATGATTTGCAGTGGTGTTACATGATAATAATAGTTGCCATTTTTTGTTTCTTGGTGATTCCTATTTAATTTAAGGTTTTTGTAACTTATGTTAACTATCCCAGTTATATTTTGTAATGAGTTTTTCTCTGATGCATATTTTGCAGAACTGGAATGGCTGGTGTTCCAGGTACAGCCAGTGCTATTTTTGGTGCGGTAAAAGATGTTGGAGCTAATGTTATCATGATATCTCAGGTGCACTTATAACATCTTTGCACTTTTTCTTGTCATCCATTTTGATTTTTAAGAAATTGCATTCATCATTAACAGTAATTGTGTAGGCTAGTAGTGAGCATTCTGTATGCTTTGCTGTGCCTGAGAAAGAAGTAAAAGCTGTTGCTGAGGCATTGCAATCAAGATTTCGACAAGCTTTGGATAATGGGCGCCTTTCTCAGGTGCTACATCCAACTCTTTTTAAAATCAAATACATGCTTTTGTTTAACTGGCTTCACTCATTTTAGTTACATTATGTAGATTTGAAAACTACATGAACACATTTAAGTGTTATTCTCTTAATTTGTCTAAAAGGATAAAGACTAAAGTGTCGTATTATCTTTTCTATATAATTTGTTTTCATTGTTGTGTAAGTGTTTATAATTTTGCACTTAATCTTACATGAGAGAAATGTTTAGGGTGGAAAGAAAGTGTCAAATGACACTGGTACTGTTATATTTATGTATGAGAGAGGATACAAAAAAAGGTTGAGCCTCGGCCCAAACCCTAAACCTCAGAAAATGCACCAGAAAAATTAAAAATAAAATATATCTTAACACTACCCTCCAAGTTGGAACATATAGATTATATGCACTAAGCTTAGAACATATAAATTGAACCTTATGTTCTCTTAAAGATTTAGTTAAAATGTCTGAAAGTTGCTCATTAGAGCTTATAAACTCAGTAATGAGTTCCTAAGATAACATCTTATCTCTGAGAAAAACACGGTCAATCTCAATATGTTTTGTTCTCTCATGAAACATTGGATTGAAAATAATATGAAGAGCTGCATGATTATCATAATATAACTTCATTTGTTCATTATCACAAAATTTCAATTCTTGAAGGAATTGCTTAATCCACAAAAGCTCACATGTAGCAAGGGCCATAGATAAACTTTTATATACTAACTCGAGTAACAGCACTTTGTTTCTTACTCTTCCAAGAAATATATTTCCTCTAATAAATACACAATACCCAGTAGTAGATCTTCTGTCATCGGGACAACCAATCTAATTTGCATTACAATATTCTAAGATCTGAGTATTACCTTTGTCTTTATACACAATACCCAGTAGTAGATCTAGAGGTGGTCTTCTCCTTGATCCCTCCTTTTACAGATTTGTGGTTGGTGCCTTGCAGTATGTTACCATAACTTGACCTGAACTAAGCTCTGCAGTCCACAAAGTATGTCAATTCATGGCTACTCCTCTTGAATATCATTGGATTGCAATTGAACTGATCCTCCTATACCTCGATATCTTTAGACTGGGCAGGCCAACATTTCTCTTTAGGGGTCTTCTGTGATGCTGATTGGGCTTTTGCCCTTGATGATCGTAGATCCACTTCCAGTGCAGTCATTTCTTGTTAATCTTATCACATGGTTGTTCTCCAATGAAGTTGTTGTTCGCTCCGGCACTGATGCTGAATATCACAACCTTATTCTTGTCACTGCAGAATTATTATGGGTATAGACCCTTCTCAATGAACATCAGATTGCTACTTCTAATTCCACTAGTTTTTGTGATAACCAAAGTGCTGCCACATTAGATTACAATCCATTATTACATGCCAATTGAAACATATGGAATTGATCTCTTCTCTGTTCGTGAAAAGGTTATTGCCAAACACCTTGGACTGGTTTGCTAACCTAGTCATTGTCTTCTTCTCAGTTTCTTCAGTTTATGTCCAAAGTTCAAACTGTTTGAGATTGCTTCCTCCTCTCACCCACCTCTAGCTTGTGGGGGCGGGTGTATGAGAGTTTATTACAGTGTCATTGTAATATGTCAGATGTCATCAATTAGTTTGGATTAGTTACAATTAACTGTTAGTTAGAATCAGTTACAGGTTCCCTGTAACTTTTTGTTTATTTTAACAGAATACAAATGTAGTTATACTTTTCTGAGTTATCTCTCCCTCTGAAGTCTATTATTAACTAGGGATATGTTGCATTTTTGTATTGAAAGCATGGCAATAATTTATTTGTTAATCAAAAGGAATGTGTAGCCTCTTGAAATATGAACGCATCGTTTTTTACCCATTTATTTATGTGCTTATATCTTTTATTTGTTATTATCATGAAGTATAAACTTTAAAGTTGAGTAATATCATTTTCTTCCATTTAAATTTGTATATGTTACTGAATGATGTTGAAATTTAAAGCTTGTTATTTTAATACCTCATTGCATTCTAAATCATGTAGCATTCCTCAGGTTGCAATTATTCCAAATTGTAGCATTCTCGCTGCAGTTGGCCAGAAAATGGCAAGCACACCTGGTGTTAGCGCCTCCCTTTTCAATGCATTGGCTAAGGTTAGAAAATTATGATAAAGATATTCCTTATGTTTGAGATTTTTGCATATTTTGTTATATCTTTTATGTTGAAACCTTTTTTAATAAACAGGCCAATATAAATGTCCGTGCTATAGCACAAGGTTGTTCTGAGTACAATATCACCGTCGTTGTTAAGCGAGAGGATTGTATAAAGGCTTTGCGAGCTGTCCATTCCAGATTTTATCTCTCAAGAACCACCATAGCCATGGGCATTATTGGACCTGGGTTAATTGGAAGTACACTACTTGACCAGCTAAGGGATCAGGTGCAGTATCTGTAGACAATTTTGTATGCATGAATAATTTTGTATGCAGTATCTTGGTTAAAAACGAAAACAATGTTTTGCCTTATTATTTTAGGTGTGAAATTAACTAATGCTTTTTCTAAATTAAAGTTGCACTTCAATTCAAGGAAATGATACCTAGAATTGAAGAATAAAGTTTATTCTTATTGACATGTAATCTCGTTATTCTGAACCTGCACCAATTTTAACTGAATTTTACACATTGAAATACTTTTTGGTAGGAATTTAAGTTTTTTCAGTTGTCAATGTATTAGAGTCTGTTTACTCTATCTGTAATCTTTTTACGTTACTATTATGTACAGCAGTTTTATAGCTTTATCCTCTTATTGTTTTGATATAGCATATGATTGACAATAGTTCTTGTCTGTTGACATCTGTACTTACAACCAGTTTTCTGTTTCTTGTAGTTACTTAGATTAGCTGAACCTTCTCTGTTTTGTAGAAACAGATCTCAGTTGTATCTTTTAAAGTGGTTGAATAATAATTCTTCTCACAAATAATTTTATAATTCCCTCTTATTATAATATGGTATCGAATTTTATTCTAGATTTATTAAAGGGGTCACACTGACCATGTTATTTATGTACCAAGTCCAGTAGTGTTGGATGGGAGGGGGTGCATTGGAAAAATCCCCAAGTTTAATATCAGCTAGAGATAATACCAAATATATAAGGGAATCAATTCTTACCTTATGTTGAATATGGAGAAAATAGGGTTTGAGATTAATCTCTCTTGTGTATAAACCACACATAAGATAATCTATTTATAATAGAGAGAGGTACAACTAAAAAGAGTAACTAAAAAATAATTAGAGTAAATAGAAGATATTGTTTGATATTGTGATTAATAATATCTAACAATATCTTAACAATATCAAACAATATCTAAACAATAGCTAACACCTTATAAGTCGGTTTTGTAGGATTGAGTAAAAATTAAATCTATATTCGGATACAATGTAAGTAAAAAAATATGGCAACACCACATGTATAGTATTAAAAGTGTTCTTGTTCTAAAAAGCTTGGAAGTTTTGTTTGAGGTGATACACAATCTTGGTAAATATAGTCTACCACATGATACAAGTTCTAATCCCATTTCCACTAAAAGTAGGTGCTACGTCATTTTGGTAAATATGAGTTTTCATTTCTAGTAAAACTCTTTTAGCTTTTGAAATAGCGAGGATGGGTCAACATCGGTTTGCTAAAAATGAAGAGATATTTCATTGGGAGTGAATCAATTGTTAATCTTTCTTGAAACTTCTTTTATAATAATTAATCTTCAAAATGTTATTGAGTGACATGGAATTATGTTGGTATTATCAAATAGTGTTAATAGAGTCTGTCACAATGGGCAATCTAGTTCAACCTAGCCTGATCCTACAGATAAAAAAATTAATGGCTTAGCTTGACTTATATTTTAATTTTTAGCCTAGCTTGGTCAAATATTAGGCCAGCATACTAGTCTAATTTTGGTTTGATTAAAAATTTAAAAAAATTATTTAAATAGGATATATAATAAAAAATGTATTTTTAAAATTTAAATTATATATATGAAATTAGTTTTTATTTAATGATTTAATATATAAGAGTATCTCCAATGGGAGTTACTTAGTGAAATGTTTAAATAAAACATTAGTTACATCAAGCAATTTTTCACCCGAAAAATGTTATGTGGCATGGTAAGTTGCTTAAATTTTGTTGATAGTTACTTTATTAAGCAACTTATAAAAATAAATAAAACAAAGTAAATGAAAGAGGGAATAGGAGAGAGAATAAGTTCTTTAAATTTTTTTAAGAAAATTTTTATTGGAGTAAAATCAATGATGAGTTGTTGAAGAATGATGTGACACAATAAATCTATATTTTACATTTTTTAAGATAAGAAGCAACTCATATGAGTTGTTCCTATTAGAGATGCCCTAAGAGAAGAATCATTTAATCCCAAAATAAGTTAAAAAATTATTTTTTATTATCATTATTTATTTTTTAGTAATTTATTGATCTAAATAATAATTAATCTTAATTATTAGATCTTGGAATAAGTGGTTGTTAGAGACTTATTCAAATATTTACTCTTAGAATACGTGAATCCTTTATTAAAATAATTTATAATAGTTAAGAGAGTTGAAAGAAGATTTATAGTTTTGTGGGGATGCGCTCCTCCATTTTATGATTACACACACACACACACATACATATATATATATATATATATATATAGGATTACAACATTTAAAAAAAAACAACCACCAACTACTAACCATTAATTACTACCTAATAATAATTCTAATACTCCTCCTCAAGCTAGAGCATACAAATTGTATGTGCCAAGCTTGGAACAAATAAATTCAATTCGAGGTGCTCTTAAAGACTTTGTCAACACATCTGCAAGTTGATCATTGGACCCGACAAGTTCAGTGCAAATTTCTTTGGAAAACAATTTTTCACGAATAAAATGACAATCAAGTTCTATATGTTTGGTCCTTTCATGGAACACCAAATTAGAGGCAATGTGGAGAGCTGCTTGATTGTCACAATACATCTTCATCTGTTGGATCTCACAAAATTTCAGTTCTTGAAGGAATTGTTTCACCCACACTAGTTCACAAGTAAGAAACGCCATTGCTCTATATTCAGCTTTAGCACTAGACCGGACCACTACATTTTGTTTCTTGCTTTTCCAAGAAATAATGTTGCCTCCAATGAGAACACATTATCCTGTAGTGGAGCATCTGTCCATAGGGGATCCAGCCCAATCAGCATCACAATACCCAAATATTTGGGTACCCTTTTTTTCTTCATACAACATACCTTGTCCTGGAACCTTTTTGAGATATTTTAGGATGTGAACGACAACATTCCAATAATCAGTACGCAGATTTTGCATAAACTGACTGACAACTCCAACGGCAAAAGATAGGTCAGGTCTGGTAATGGTGAGATAAATGAATTTCCCAACAAGTCTTCTATATCTCTCAAGATCAGAGAGCGGTTCACCCTGATCTACCATTAATTTCTGATTTGGATCCATAGGGCTGTCTACTGGTCTCCAATCAATCATACCTGTTTCTTTCAGGATATCTAAAGCATACTTTCTTTGGGAGATTACAATGCCTTCTTTTGATTGAGCCACTTCAATCCCTAGAAAGTATTTGAGACAACCAAGATCCTTAGTTTGAAAGTGATTGCATAAATGTTTCTTTAGCAGAGAAATTTTATCAACATCATCCCCTGTAATGACTATATCATCCTGTGGGAAATCAAATAGTATTTTAGGAAAGAATAAATCAGGAAATTTGTATATTTCCTTGTAATCTGTACAGATTTGAATAATTAGGAACAATCCCATAAATCAAGGGATCCAAGCATAAAATAGAGTTATTATATTTCCTAAAATAGCTTAGGTCTCCTGTATATATCTTATATCATCTCTTTGTATTGAAATAATAAAATATCATATTTCAGTTAATCTATTTTTCAAGATGGTATCAGAGCCAAAGCCTAACATCTTTCCGGTTATTGTCATGGGCCAAAAGTTGCCCTTTAGTTGGGTCAAAAGTACCCTTTGCCTGGTCCGGCAGGCTTTGTTGGAGGGGGTGTGTTGAAAGTCCCACATCGCCTACCTCATATCATTTGGTATGGTTTAAATACATGTTAGGCTACTCCACATATTGCCAATTGGTTTTATGATGGAACCCTTATAACTGCAGCTGGTCAAGGAAATATCCAAATCAATCCTTTAATAACCTTAAAAGATGTTCTCCATGTCCCAAAGCTATCCACCAACCTAGTCTCTATACAAAAACTTATAAAGGATTTGTCATGTAAAGTTGTTTTTTTCAACGATCATTGTGTATTTCAGGACAAGGAGTCGGGGAGGATGATTGGACATGCTAGAGAATGGAATGACCTTTATTATCTCGAAGATCCAAGTCTGCCCAACAAGAACAAAATCTCTCACTCCTTCATATCTGAATCCTTGATGACCAATAGAGAAAAAAACCATGCTTTATCATTGTCGGTTGGGACATCCCTCTTTTGGAGTGATCAAAATTATGTTTCCCTCTCTGTTTACCAAGTTAGATGTTGAGAGTCTTCATTGTGAGGTGTGTGAACTTGCTAAGCACAAGCGTGTATCTTTTCCAATAAGTAATAAAGTTAGCAATTTCCCTTTTTATCTTGTTCATACTGATGTATGAGGACCTTCTAATATTCCTAATGTGTCTGGTGCTCGATGGTTTGTCACCTTTATAGATGACTGTACAAGGGTCACTTGGGTTTTCCTACTTAAACAAAAATCAGAAGTCAGTTCTGTCTTTCTAAACTTCCACTCCATGATAAAAAATCAGTTTGGTGTCAATATTAAGAGACTTAGGTCAGATAATGCCAAAGATTACTTCAATCATGTCCTTAGTTCTACTTGATATTCAAAAACTGAGAAAAAGTGTTTTTAGAGGGCTTGAAGAACCCCTCTCATAGTTCTGTATTTATATAGATAAAAACTGATACAATAGGGAGATTACATTAAATGCACAGTCCTACATTACTCCTCAGAACTAGGTGCAGAGATTATCTAACACTCAACCCCCTGCAGAGATTATCTAACACTCAACCTCCTACCTTAGGTATAATGATTACATATATTTTCTAATTTATTCCAACACTCCCCCTCAAGCTGGAGCATACAAGTTGTATGTACCAAGCTTGGAACAAATGAACTCAATCCGAGGTCCCCTTAAGGACTTGGTAAACACATCTGCGAGTTGGTCATTTGATCCAACAAACTCGGTACATATTTCTTTTGTCAACAACTTTTCACGAACAAAGTGACAATCAATTTCTATATGTTTAGTTCTCTCGTGAAATACGGGATTTGATGCAATGTGGAGTGCAGCTTGATTATCACAATACATCTTCATAGTCTGGATATCACAGAAGTTAAGCTCTTGAATGAGCCGTTTTACCCATATAAGTTCA